TCTGTATTCTTTTTTAGGAGAGTGAGAAAAGGGAATATCATTCTATTTCTCAAAATTGCATATAGAATATCAAAAAGTGACCTCTTCCCAGATGTAGCAGAACCTATGCTGGCAATGGGAACATGCATCCTTTTGAAGGAAGAAAGCTTTAGAACTCCAGCCTCGTCACCCCTTCACAGTTCCTTTGGAAAAGAGGAGGAGAAAAACCACCTACAAATAATAGAAACCAATTTTTCTATTCGAGTAATTAATAATTCTGGCAAACTGGCAAGCCAGCTGTCACATGCTGTGCCACAGCCAAAGTCCATGAATGAGGAGACCCACTCCGGTGCACTGGGATGCTCAAAGCCTTGCTTTTGTCATAGTTGGCCGATTAAGTCATTTTTAGAATTTGGTCTTCTCAGGGGCAGAGGTTTTATCTTTTATATTAGGTATGTTCTTTTCCTCACACTGTTCAGTTACATAATAGGATAACTGCATGTTCAAAGTCATGCTTTTTTAGTATAAAATACAAAATCACATCCTTCACTTTTGAAGTAACAGTTATTCATGATATTACTGATTTTGGATACAGCAAATAAGACATTGCCAAAAGTTCTCTCTAGGCAGAATAAATAAATATGTAGCTGGACCTTATCTGAGTCTGCTGTTAAATATAGCTTTGTTCTCCTATTCCTTTGAACCTCAGGTTAGGTCACTTGTAGTTTACTTCTTTATCTTGAAACACTAAGCTCCAAATGATATGCATTCTGCAATTATTTTTTTTCCAGACTTTTATGGCCATTGTGGCCTGGTGTGAAATTCTGTACCTTTCCCAAATTTTGACCCAGGCTATGTACAATGTTTGCCTTCCGTTCATGTAACAACACCAGATTCAGTGGCCTTCTGTCATCTGTTCCCCACACATTCGCCTGGCCTCGGCACCATGGGGCTGGCTGCCCTCCAGAACCTCATTCTGGAAGCATCTGTCTTCACAAGGAGAGAGGAGCTTGATTCATCTGTAAATATTTTCAAGGAGTGGGACTCAATGTCACAAAGAGGTCAAAGCCTCAGTCACGTGAAAAGTGTGACATGATGGCATTCTGAAAAATATTTAACTTACCAGTCAGTACCTTGTCTCTAAAATGATAGAAAACTGAAAGCCAGTGTGTTTTAGAATCCCTTCCTCACTGTCTTTTATACAGCCTCATAATATGTGTTGCTTGGGGCGTTTGAATGAGCTCCTTATAAAGCTTGATTCTTTAGCACTCTCTTAAGTATTTCACATATACAGACTAGGATGTATCCCTGAATTACAGAGAGCGTCAAAATGTTAGCAGATACATGCTCAGAGGGCTTGTTTTCCAATTGGGCAATTTTGGTGAATTCCATTCTCTACACAGGTTAGGGAATGTCGTAATGAAAATTTAAGAGAACGGGAACATAGGGAATGGATGGATTATTATGTCAGTGGGAGGATTCAGAAAAGTGTGATGCAAAAAGTGGCCACTGATGTTAAATGTGGAGAAATTCTTTTACTTCCCTGTATGTAAGTGTCTGAGATGTGGATTTCATAGTGATAAGAAAAAGATAATGCAATCAATAAGAAAGAAGGTGGATTAATATGAAGATGGGTCAATGAAGTTAATATAGAGCACATTTTGGGTAACTGTTAACAGTCAGAGTTGACTAGAGAAGAGAGTATTCTGAAGGGAATGTAGAAAATAACTTGATAGGCCAGGTTGGATCATTTAGGACGGCTATGGATCTTAACAACAATAATAAATATGACCTATGGAGAACGGGGACCGCAAGTTCTTGGTTAGGATTAGAAAACCACCCTCCCCCTCCTGCTGGCAGGAGGTCGATGGACCACTCAGTGGTTCTAAGGAAACACTGAATTCTAATTTCAGTCTATACTTTTCTGTATGTGACACTCAATGAATCATTTGCCTTTTCTACCCTCAGTGTAATCATTTGTAAAATGAGGATTAGATTTGACCAAGGCTTCTTAAAATTCCAGCTTGGGCACTGAGTGTACAAAATATACACACAAATCAAACATTATTAATAATAAAAGACAAATTTATTTTTAAATAATCCTTTGCTTTACATAAATGTTTACGACTTATTAAAGACAAAGACAAATTTACAAACTAATGAGATCCTTATGCTTATTTTTATGAAAAAAATCACATCTTGGATGAATATTTGCCATCACAGCATGTGGAACAAGCTCAAGATTTTTCAGAGTTGATCGCTATTTGGACTATCTAATTGACAGTGCTGAGAATTATACTTTGTTCATACATGTAGTACAAAATGGCAGAAGTAAAAATACTTAGCGTGATTTCAGAAATGGCTGAAAGTTCTGCCCTACTCCCAAGCTAGAATTCATTTAAGGGTTTTCAAAGTGAAATGCAAGACAATAACTCAAATTAAAAAAAAAAACAAACCTAAAATCAATCATTCTAAAATAATACAATTCATACATACACACACACACACACACACACACACACACACACACACACATATATATATATATACATACATATGACTTTTGGTAGTTACTCACTGAGTAATTAATGGTGGTAGGAACATACAGAAAGGTTTGTTTTGTTATTAAAACATTATGTTTCTGTAAGAGTGTCACCATGTATGCATGAATGGCCCAGAGCTTTCCTCAAACTCACAGAGATCTGATTGCCTCTGTCAGCTAAATGCTAGGCATACCCCATGATGCTTGGTGGAATTGGGGTCTTAAAGAAAGGTTAGTACTCTCATTTTAAGTAAAGTAGTGGAATCATTTCAAACATATTGATTAAAAATTCAAATGACTGACAGACAATAAAGTAACAAGCACAAAAAATTCTTTTTTTTTAAGTTTAAATGTTCTTTCATATCAGTTCAATTAAGTAGCCCCATTTAATGATGGTTACATTCTGAATTACTGAGTTTTAATGAATTCATATGGAGTTGCTAGTGATTTAGATTGGCATATGTACTAATCCAAGAAATAATGTTTCCCAAGTATGACGAAAGTACTATTGTAGATATCAGGGACCTAGCAAGGAAGAAGAAAAGGAAAGAGAGTAGAGACAAGGACTTTGCCCTTATAGAACCTGTTTTGTCTGATTGACAATAGAGGGAGAAAGAAAGGAAAACAGCAGTGAGAAAACTTCCTCAGGAAGAAAGAACCTGAGTGATGGAGACAGGGAAGGCCTGAGACACTGAGGAAGGAGTCCCTGTGGAGAACACACTAAAACTGACAGCCTAATGACCTCAGAAGCCAGTAACACCCCTTGGGGTGGGTAAGAACTCTGCCTGGAGAGGAGTCAGAGAGTGGACGGGTCCAGGGATCAGCTTATGTCTGGATGTGTTTTCGTAATTGAAAGCAGCAGCCTGCCAAGGGCAGAGTGGACCGTGGACAGGAGACAGCAAGAGGTGAGCCCACTCTATGTTAGTTCACAGCAAGGCAACAACTCAAGAAACTTACTCATGAGCTCCTCTTGGCTTTGTTAAAACTTTTCATTATATGCTTCAAAGGGGAAACGATTGAATAGATAATAAATAATAAAATAATAACATCACTTTTTTCTTTTCTTCTTCCCTTTGGCTTTTATATTATCACTGGGAAAATATAAAACTATCAAATTTTTGGAGGAGAAAATTCCAGCTCAAAGATTTTTCTCTTGCTCAAGGTCACTCAGCCTGTAAATGGCGCAGGATTCAAATCAGACCTTAGGAGTCCAGGCCTAGATGGTTACTGTCCCTTCTTATTTGATCTCCACAGAATAAGTTGCTGACCTCTTACCAGAGACCCTGCAGAAGAAGCTGTAATTGGAGCTAAACATTTCACAGTCCTCTGCTCGTGGCTCACATGAAGGTTTGTGGTAGGGCATAAGAGTCAGTGCCTAGTGGGGAGACCAGGTCTAGTGGCTGTGTATTTTTCTTTTTTTTCTGAGCATTCTTACAGTACCCCTTTGCTTTTATAGTAAGAGTTTGATGACTTTCTACCAACTTTGTGTGACTGCACTGAATGGAATATGGCATAAGTCCCCATGACATTTTCAAACGAACATGAAATGTGGTAAATAAACTGGCATTTACTCAAGGGCTCTCTATCAGCTGTTTCTGCACTTTGCCCCTCCATTAAGTTAACTGCCAGGCTGCGGCCATTAAAATGCAATACTTTTCCCTCAATTATATCTACACACTATCTCTAGATATTCCAAGCCTTTCTCATAGAATCCTTTTTCAGAAAAGATTTTAGATTCCTGTTAGTGTGGCACTTCTTGGTGCTCCCAATGGTCAGGTCCCCCTGCTTTTGAATTTTTGGGTTCTGAATACGCCTATCTGAAAGCCGGATCTCTGTTGATGATGCATTCCCAAAACCTAGTATCCGCTTAAGAGAGAGCCCTAGAAATAGAGACATATTGTACTTCTCGCAGAAAGCAGCATTTGTTGCTGCTGGGGGCTTTCTAATGGATGCAGGGGGGCGAGGAAGAGTTGGCTGCGGTTAGGGAGCAGATTTGAAGCTGCTTCTCATTGGAGGGGCTTGCGTTCTCTAAGCTGCCAGACACTGCGGGCTCAACCAAGGCGCGGAGGTGCAATTCAGGCTGGCAGAGCAGCGGGGGAAGGCAAGGACAGGCGGGGCTAGCGCGGCTCTGCAGCTGATCACACGCGCCAGCACACACACACCTCATTCCGGTTGCCTCTGCTTGAGCCTCGCATCCTCCATCCACCCGGGGCAAGCAAAGCGAGGACGCGGAATAGAAAACCGAGGAAAGGAAGACTCAACTGTTTGCGCCGGGAGGAAAAAGCTGGAGCAAAGCCAGCGTTTAACCTGAAAGTCTGACCCCGGTTCAGCAGCCGCGCTGTCGCCTGGAAAGAGGGCACCTCGCGCGGAGGATCACCGGAGTCAGGCGTCCGAGCCAGTCTCTGCCTGGAGCAGCGGGATCTTCTGGCGGGGACCGCGCAGTGCCCTCCGGGAGGTGCGGAGCTTGACGACGCACCTGCTTTGGCTCTCATCCTGGAACACCAAAAAAAGTAGGAAAAGGTCAGGCAGCCTTGAGCGCGGGGTGCTTGGCCAGGCTCTCTGTGCTGCTTGCAGCACCTCCGCCAGTCCTCAGCCGCTGGGTGAGTGCCCGGGCTTCCAGCGCTCCCCGGAGCGCGGGGGTGGCTTGGCAGGCCCCCCGAGAGTCCACTCCAAGGCCCCGGTGGCGCGCGTGGAAACTCGACCGCCTGCGCACGGCAGGAATACAGGTCTCTGGAGTCCCGGGCGGGGGATTCTGAGCCAGCAGAGCGTGGGTAGGGGGCGTCGCACCATTGCCCAGCAGACATGCCTCTGGGCGGGATTTTGGCAAAAAGATAGGAGGCGCGAGTGACAAGGGAGCCGGGAGCACTCCAGGGGGGCGGGTGATCAGGGTGCAGCTGGGAGGGGGGGGGAAGGGCCCGGACCAGGCAGGTAGCGCAGTTTAGCAGCTTGGGGAGTTGGCAGGTGAGGTGGGACTTGCTTATCAAACTCATTAAATTTCAGCAGCCTGTTCAGGGGCGCTGCAAGAGAGTGGAGGGTGGGGTGCTGTGGAAAGGTAAGAGGTGGCCCGGGATGCCGGTGGTGGGGGTAGGAAAGAGAAACCTCGAAGAGCTTGGGGGCAACCTTGCACTTGAGTTCTTACACCTTGCAGTCCTCCCGCCTTGAGTGTGGAACACGTCTGTTTTACCCCTGCGCTGGGAAAGAAAGCCTCAGTCCCAAGGGAGGTGAGGCGTCTGCTGGGGGGAGGGAAGAGATTGCTGCTACCTGCAGGCTGCTCCCTACCCCCCAACCCCAACCCAGGCGCCTGCTTTCGTCCCCTCCTCTCCTGCTTTTGTCCCCTACCCCCACCTCCGTATTGGTGCTGGTTTGCAGCGCTTGGCTCCTGCGCCTCCGCTTCTTGTTTGAATCTGGCTCGCCCCTCCGTATTATGTCTGCACTCCGAAGGAAATTTGGGGACGATTACCAGGTAGTGACCACTTCGTCGAGCGGCTCGGGCTTGCAGCCCCAGGGGCCAGGACAGGGCCCGCAGCATCAGCTTGTACCCAAGAAGAAGAGGCAGCGGTTCGTGGACAAGAACGGCCGGTGCAATGTGCAGCATGGCAACCTGGGCAGTGAGACCAGTCGCTACCTCTCGGACCTCTTCACCACCCTGGTGGACCTCAAGTGGCGTTGGAACCTCTTTATTTTCATCCTCACCTACACTGTGGCCTGGCTCTTCATGGCGTCCATGTGGTGGGTGATCGCTTACACCCGGGGCGACCTGAACAAAGCGCACGTTGGCAACTACACTCCCTGTGTGGCCAATGTCTATAACTTCCCCTCTGCCTTCCTGTTCTTCATCGAGACCGAGGCCACCATCGGCTATGGCTACCGCTACATTACGGACAAGTGCCCCGAGGGCATCATCCTCTTCCTCTTCCAGTCCATCTTAGGCTCCATCGTGGACGCTTTCCTCATCGGCTGCATGTTCATCAAGATGTCCCAGCCCAAGAAGCGCGCCGAGACCCTCATGTTCAGTGAGCATGCGGTGATCTCCATGAGGGACGGAAAACTCACTCTCATGTTCCGGGTGGGCAACCTGCGCAACAGCCACATGGTCTCCGCGCAGATTCGCTGCAAGCTGCTTAAAGTAAGTGCAGCCCTCCCCTTCCCCACCGAGCCTATGCTACCCAGAAACTCCAAGATTCAGTCCCCCAGGAACCACTCTGCCCCCCACCCCGGTTTGTCCTTCCACCACAGGTAAACTTCTTTGGGGCTAGAGGCGGGGTGGCAGAGTGTGCGAGTGTGTGTGTGTGTGTGTGTGTGTGTGTGTGTGTGTGTGTGTTGGGGTGGGGAGGGGGTGGTGTTGAAAAGAGCTGGGGATTAGGCAGAGGGCATAGTTGCCAGTTCTGTTCTCATCCCCATTCCCCTGGTCCTGTTTATGTTCCTCACCCCCGATGTGCTGTGACACACCACGGTGGTGATAGGGAGTGCTGTGGGCTCCTGATCCTACACTGCTTGGTTTTGTGAGCGCTTTTGGTTTGTTGTCAACTCTAAGTCCTCTAGTGCCCTCCACTAACGCCTCTGATTTGAAGAGTTAGATGTTGAAGTTGCCTCAACTTTAGTTTGGGGTTTTGTCTTTACTGTGCTTCCCCCTCCCCTAAATGCCACCAGGTGGATTACTCTGCAAGGCAAAGTAAGTTTAACCGTGGTCATCTTTTAAACAAGCATAGAAGATCCAGGCAGCTGTTATTAGAGGATGCTATATCTGTTTCTTTAAAATTGCTATTTTTACTAAATATTTTCCTAGAGATGTATCCTGTGAAATCTTGAGTGCCTTTTCTGTAGAGCCTCTTGTTAATTTTATTCTTAATTGCCTGTTTCTATGAAGACTTTGTCAATTATAGATTTCACTTGAAGCTTTTCAGCATCCATTAAAGAAGATTGCATCCTAACACCAGTGCCATAAATGCTAAAACAAATTGCTCATAGAGTAGATATTAAGGTAAGGTCCTTGTAGCCCTTACAAGGCACCACCACAAACAAGAAGAGTCCTCTAGTTATTAATTAGAGCCTGGGAAGGAAGGATTAAAGTCTAGTTCTCTGTAGGTCTACAGGTGTCGTCTTCTTCTTCTTCTTCTTCTTCTTCTTCTTCTTCTTCTTCTTCTTCTTCTTCTTCCTTCTTCTTTTGCATTTCCTAGATTGATTATTTTTAAATGTTCATACATTGGTAATGGCAAATGGATGTTTCATTATTAAAGGAAATTAATCTGAGATTATATATAGATTATATAAAGAAGCTAGACAGGTTCAGAAAGGTAATAAAACGACTGATATCTGAGTAGAAGTGAAATTTTGCCTTTGAAATTTCAACTGGCACCATTCAACTATGCATTATTTTATACAGCTCCAACTTATCATGCAGTTAAAAGTGTTCTCCCAGGATTAAAAAAAATGCTCTCATGTCACTTTCATTAGCACTTATAAGATCTCATCCTAATTGTTCTTGACCAAGTTGGCCAGTGCAGTGCTTGAATTAAAACAGTTCGCTTGCCCTGTCACTTCTCATCACATGAGTATTTCCTATGCTGCATTAGTAAATAAAATACTTTTTTTTTATATCAGAGTGTAAAAATTTCAGCCTGGCTCTGATGTACATGCTTATAAGGACAGCTATGATTATATAATTTTGATTGATCTTATTCTTTTGTACGCTTTTGCTGCACACAGTTGTTACATTTTTAAGGTGGCATTTTCTTTTGTTGACATAGGTTTGAGTTAAGTGGCTTGGGAGATCCAGCTAAGTGGATGAGCTGCAGACATGCTTGTGGCACTGTGTGTGCTCCATTCTCTGTGCAGAGTAAACTCTTCATCTGCTTCACTAGGAAGGCCTTGTGGGCAGAGAGGAGCTCTTGGAATGCTGAAACCCTGTCAAGGCATCTGTGTGTGGATATCACGTTGAAACTCTCCCTATACTAGTTCAAGATACAATTAAAATCAGTCTCTAGATTTGTGACACAGTTGTTTATAATGAATTTTAGGTTCTTGGTCTTTACAGTAGTGCATATTCCCATAAAAGATTTTTTTATACATTCCATGCTTAACCTTTACCAGAACAGTATCTTGAATTAAGAAATAAAATGTTATAGTATTGGAGCAAGGTGCTATATTAACACAAGGTGATAAAATCAATATCACATTCCAATAATACAGTAGTAGTGAGGTACAGTCCTTCTTATTTATTAGGAGAACAATAGTTCTGAAAGTAAACCTTATTAGCATGTGATATTAAATTCATATTGACAGAAAATTACAGTGAAGTTAATGTGACTTATTTTAAGTATGTTTGTCTTTTCTCATAGGTAAGGTACTTAAAATGAATTCTTACAGTGTTTATCATTTTTTTTATACCACATTGAAAAGAAATCACATTCTACTGAGGAATTAATAACATTCAGCAAAATTAGAGGGGTTATTTGCTTTAATGAGTGACCCCTATTTTCTGTTGGAGACACTTGAAGTGACCTAAAATGTCAACTGTGCTATGGGAGAAAAGCTACATCAAAACCTAAAAGTTTAAAAGTTGTTATCAGTTGCACATATCTTTACTAAATATCAGTTCACATCTTTAATTGCCTACTCTTTAACACTTTAAACTCTATATTTGTGTTTCTTCAATAAACAATCTGCAGAATTTTGTGTCAAAAGCTAGTATGTTATTTAACCATAATTATAGTACTCATAACATTTTCCTGCTTGCATGCTATTTGCCAAATCTAAAAAATCCTTTATTGGCACAAATTTAGATTTATTGAATCATTATAAACTACTTTCCGTTCTTGGGAAGACACAGAATAAGGGCATGCCTTTCTAATATTGGACACTCTGAGGCTCACTCATCCTTTCTTTGGAATTCCCAATTATCTGAGGGAAATTATTCTAACTTTCCTGTCTAATTTCAATTTTGCTTTTCACTTACGTTGAAGGCAATTTGTGTTTAAACTCCAGACCTTAGTTTCCTACTTGAAAATACTAAAATTTCTCTAAATAATCATAGTTAGGTCTAGTAACTTTATGACTAAAAAGGTCAATATTTACTTACAAATTAAAAAGTGAGAGGTTTAACTGAAAGTTATTTTAAGTGGCAACAAGCTCATTAATTATAAATATACCTCCATAGAACTATTTTAAGGTAAATATTCTTGATATTTTTTCCTCTCATGAAATTAATATTTACTTAGCTTTTAATTTATTTTACTTCTCTTTCTTTCAACCTAAAGAATAGGGAGTAATTAATACCATGGCCACATTAATTTACTGTATCATTTTTGAGAAGTTTTAATAAAAGTGCCTAGTCCTAGGACTTGAAATCTCTTTGGCTGAGATGGTGGAGCTTATAACCCACTGAAGGTCTGCAGGAACTGTAAAGCTCACTGTTGCTTCCTGTCACTAGTCACTGATGATTGATCGTCCTTTTTTTAGAGGAAGAATACAATGATCTTTGAGGGACTCTTCAATAGTTTAAAGTTTGTTGCTGATAGACTGTCCTATATAGTCAGACAAATATTTTTACTATATTAACAAAAAGCTACTATTATTGTAGCCACACTTTAAAAGGGGTACAAAGAAAGTATTTTTAAAGGAACATATTCTTATCTCTTTATATTTCTATCATTACCAACTGTCATTGATTTCCTTGGAAGACCACACACAGCTTTTAACGTTCATCTATTAAAAGGTGTTAGGGTACATTTCCTTTTTCTTCTAACTTCATGTACATTGTCTGTGTATGCATCTTCATTCTCCATTCACATGGCTATTCAAAATTTGATGCTGTGTGGTTTCTAGAACAGGGGTGTGATCATGCTCAGATGCAACAGAAAACAGTATTATAGTCTACAAGATCATTAGCCTCTTTACTCCCTTCATAGTGCTGGGAACCTAATAGCTCATGAATGCTAGCAACCCTCTACCATGTAGACACAACACAACCACGGCCAAACTTATTATCATCGTCACCATCACTATTACTATTATTATTACTAATTATTACAATTATTATTTTGTCACTGCATGAAGACTAACCCAATGACCCAGAGTGGGAAATACTGGAAAATTACTCTACCACTGAGTTACATCCCAGCCCTATTTTTATTTTTATTTTTATTTTTATTTTTATTTCATTAGTCATTAGCCACAGTTACTCCTGGCCCATAAGTTTCTTGAATTTTCTCATAAGTGTATGATTTTGTCTTTATTTCCTATCTTCCACTTAAATATGATTTTTCTTTTCACTTTATATAACCTTATCTAGCCTGCCTGACACTCTTTTACAAATAGATTTTGGCCAAACTTTTCTTTATGCCATAACTTTCTTTTTAAAACATCAATCTATAAAAATATATCTATATAAAAGTTTATCTGAATAAGATCAAAGCTTTCTCATTGTAGAAAACTTCTGCATTTCTACAATGCCAAAGGATAGTGTACAGTCTAAGAAAAAGTACCTCAGAACTGACAAGAGCGGGGCCTGATATTGGTTGTTTTAGATGGGCTCATTATAACCTCAAAAACAACAAACAAACAAACAAACCAAAACCACAGTACAATAGTTATATGTTTAGCTTTGTTTTCTTTGACACAAGCAAGACAGTTCTCTAAAAGGTACAGATTTAGGGTTATTTCTAAAACCTTTCTAAAATCCTTTTTACACTAGTAATACTATTTTAAAGTTTATATTGGTTTTTATTTAAATATGTGTCTTAAAGAGTACAGGGTGCCTTGTGCCCATAAAATAAAGTATGAACACAAGCAAGAGATGTAAAAACCCACAAGTGAACAGCAGTAGGTAAGAACAAATGATAAAAGGAAGCAGGAAAAGGCATTTCATGGATTGAAGGGTGTTGTGGGTAGGAGAGGAATGCGCAAACAGGGATACAAATCCTGCCCATAGTTACTATAAAGCCAACAAAAGGCCCCCATGGTGACACAAAGCAGAGCATTCATTTGAACAGTACAAAAGGCTCACATAATCTATTGCAAGATAAATTACATCGCATCCAAATAAGGTACATTCCTTTCATTAAAAAGTGGGCATTTTATGGGTTAATTAAGCTTAATATTAAAAACATTTTTTTAAGACTTGGCACTGACTTTAATTCTATCTGAGCTAAAAAAAATTCAGCTTTAATTATCCAAAGGTATGTACAAAGGTCTATCACAGACAGTGCAAATGAAATTTTAGCTCTACATGTTTCTCTACCTTAAATTCTGACCTGCATGTCAGAGGTTTTATTATAATTGCTTTGAGCCATAGAGGCAGTTTAATTCCTGGTATTAGCACATGTATTATACATATTTCCTACATTTAACTATTGGATAATACTCTGACTACACTCTATGCTTTCTTTTACTTTGTCACTTCACTATACACTTGGCATATATAAACTCACAGATATGATAGGAAACATTTAAAGAGAAGCGAAATTCCAGATATAAACATGAAGGTGGTAGAAAAGACTGCTTTACTTCATCTTACTCTCCTCTCATAATCAGTGATTGTACAGGGCTTTGTCAGTTGAGAACTGTGGGAAGTTGAAGGTATAGCCAGGACACAGACTATGGCAGAGACAGGTGGTGATGAGTAGGCATTATGTTCAGAATCCTGTGGCAGCTTCAAACTTGAGCAGAGCTCAGTTACAGGCGAGAGACAGCAGGTTAGCTAGTGTCTAGGCAGAGTTAGTAAAGTTTGGCTCTGGAGCATGATTGTAGACAGGTGGCCACATAATACCCAGAAAGACAATGGCTGAATGCACGTCTGCTTATGAATGACAGGACAGTGAAAAATGTGTATGTGTGTAAAACCTTCAATTAGCTTTTTTTTTTTTTCTTACACTGAAAGTAAACTATTTGTCTATAAGTTCCTGAATAAGATGCTCCCTTCTGTCCCTTCTGAACATGAGTGATTTTGCTTTTTTTTGTATTTGTTTTAAAAATTATCCTCTTGTCTACTTTTTTGGAATCTGAGAGGAGTCAAAGTCATTGGACAATACTGATTCTTTGAAAGTCAAACGTTAAACTCTATATCTAGGCAAAAACCTTGAAATATTTTGAAAGATGTCTTTTCATTAAATGTGAATTCTGTATAATTGAATACTTTTTCCATAGATATTTTAATATGAACAATACTTTAGAAGTCATTACCACAATTGAAATCGTACAAATTTATTTCAAAAAAATCCATGTTCAAATTGTAATCTTGAAACAGACAATGCAAGAAATTAGGTTTGCCTTAGAGATCCTCAATCTTTCCTCCAACTCAAAACTTTTGCTCTTGTGCATACAACAACTGGCCACAACCATTCCACTCAGAGCAGCCTGTTTCTTGGCTCAGAACTCTCAGCATCAAGAAGGGTTAAATTCTCTTTATCTAAAAAGACTTTACCTATAATCAAATATCTCACAATGTAGAGTCTTGCACACCTTTATAAGACTATTTACATAAGTATCTCTCCCTCTTTATCTTTAGTTTTCATATGCAAGTGTATGTTACAGTGCTTTAAGCAAAAAACACTCACTTCTCTTCCCTCACTGTTATTTTTCTTCCTTAACATTGATCTGGCTAATCTTGGGACTGCTACCAGGATCAAGAGCTTCTAGATTATAAATGTTAGCAATGCAGTATAGAATGTATCTGTTTTGAGAATGAACCTAGCAGGCACCTGCAGCTTTCTGCAGTCTGAAAGGTTTTTGTCTGAGCAGTGATAGCAGACACACTTGACTTCAGTCAGCAGTCCAGACTTCAGAGAGTTCCAGCCTTCCAAGGATCCTCTTCTCTGACACAACATCTTTTACTTTTGACCTCCACTAAAGCCTGCTTCTAGTTATTAATAGGCTTCTTAGTCTATTTTCAAGTCAGAGACAAAAAAAAAAAAAAAAAAAACAAAACCAGAGATTCAGTGAACTTAGAGTTGAAATACCTACATAGGTGATGAAAACTTGGAAGATAAATTTAAGTGTGCGTAAAGTACTTCAGGAAATTAAACGACATATTATATAATGATTTTGGAAAAAAATTTTAATACATAGGTATGGGGCATCACTGATCTTATAAGAAGCATTAGAAGTATCTTTAAGATGAAGTTATTAAAACTTTCTCCATAGTGTCACACGGTAGGGAGATCTGGATAGGAGAGAATTCAAAGGGGTTGATTGGTGAGAGGTTGATTAGAGAGCATTGATTTGAAAATCATGAACAAGCATTTCAAAAATGAAGACTTACTGAAACTGAATGGAGTGAAACTATGCGTATTTAAACCTAAATTACCTATGTCATAATAAACCACTTCACTAAGCAATGAAGTATTCCCAGTTCAAGCTTGACAATCTCCTGGTAGCTTGACTATGTTTAGGCCACTCCTCTTTTCAGTTGTTGAAAGGTTAGGAAATATTCAGCATAATACGAATGACAAATATATCAAAAATAAGGTGACTTTTAGTTTTGGTTTACACATATGGTAAACCAAAATTATCTTCCTTGAAGAAATATTTCCCAAAAAGGAGAGTTTAAAGATGCATGCTGTGGTACAGAAAAGCAGAACATAGAAAAGTTAGTAGCAGGCAATCCTAGTAAAAGGATGCAAATTATGGTCATTAACTATGGATTTCAGAATATCACCTTGTGATTGTGTAGCACCTGTTGCTTCTTAGGTAGGAGAACAATGAAGTGGACTTTGTTCATCTTTGCCCCTGTTTTGTGTTTCTCAGCTATTATTTCCATATATGAATCAGCTATCAATACACAGGTGGCAGTTGGGAAGATGTTAGTGTCATTCATATTTTATTAATTTGGGAGTATGTTGAAAATATAGATGTCTGGAAAAAGCTTCATTGCAGGTATTTTTCCTGCTGATTTGGAAATACCAAATGTTTTCCAGTAGAGTTTGTGAAAGCTGAGGTTTTAGTTTTTTAATAAGCAGATTTTCCCACAGATTAAAAACAACAACAACAAAATGTCATCAGAAATCATATCTTCCCCCTCTCTTCTTCAGAAGTCCCTCCCTCCTTTTCTTCTATATTTACATTATTATCAAGAAAAAAGATATACCACCACGGACTCAAAACTACTCATGTTCTGCCCCCCCCTCGCCCCCAGGAAAGCAGATTACTCAGCAATTCTTCAGAGTTTTCAGCCTTATTTACCAAACATGATTTATCTTATTTTTACTAAACCCAATATATCTTTTGCAAATGAAAATAAGATTATTGTCTATCTTGAAATGAGTATTATTTTTTGGGCAAACTCACACTCTTGGTTTATTTTCATTTATTAAACTTGCTGATGAAGAGTCTTAAAATATAGCAGACACTTCTAGTCCTATTAGACCACTGGGATAGAACCCTTCCCACTATTTATTTTTTCTCTATGAATCTAACTACCGGTTTTTATTCCCCTCTTTAATATATGTTAAATCTGAATATTTGCTTGTGCAACTATTGTGTAAAATAGATACGCTAAACAAAATGAAAACAAATGGAACAAAAAGAATGAGTACGGCTACTTTTACGGTTTTCTGATATTTGCTTTTTATCCAGTCATATAACGTAACTGGTTTGTTGAATTAAGCTTTTGAGTGATTATATTGAATCTAAATGTCACTGTCCTATGAGAATTTAAATACACTGTTTGTTGAAGACCACTATCTTAAAATTCTATTTTGTTTAAAAAAGTTCAACAGAGTACATATTTGGCTATACTTTAAAAAAGTCAAAAATAAAGGAATAGAGAATTATATTGTAGTTTACTATTATCAAGGGCTTGAAAACCATGAGCCTTTAAGATTATGGTCCATAGCACAATTCAGTATGAAAATGTCTTTTTTATTCTGCCTTGTAGCCATTTGTTACTTTACAAAATTCCTGAAAAACAAAACAAAACAAAACAATTATTCATTTTACTTTCCAAGAAATCAACAAATCTTTTCTCATATTATAGTCAGCATTTTTTTTTAACTTAACAACTTCCAATTGAACTCCAAAATTATTTGCTTTCTAAGGAAAGACAGCTTTGGCATGCAGTTGGTTAGGATGCAGAGATTTCTTTCAAGCAGTATTCAGATACACACACCAAGTTCCATAGTTGTGCTCATAGCCATTGCTGGAGTAGGTATGTCTCCAAAGGTCAGGCATTAGGGACTGGTGATTAAAGCAAATTGTTTATTATAAATAATGCATGTATGTTCTGCATGAGCCATGAGGGATTTCAGCCCATTTGCTAGAATACAGCTACATAATTATTTGCTTGGATTGCATTGCTGATGTTTGATAGTGCAGAATGTTGGCAATGTTGTATATGACTGTTGGGTTGCCTTGATAATTTCAGTACAAGTGGTGATTTCTTCTCTTTTTCTGTGTGCTTGTCTAGTCTCGACAGACACCTGAGGGTGAGTTCCTTCCCCTTGACCAACTTGAACTGGATGTAGGTTTTAGTACAGGGGCAGATCAACTTTTTCTTGTGTCCCCTCTCACAATTTGCCACGTGATCGATGCCAAAAGCCCCTTTTACGACCTGTCCCAGCGAAGCATGCAAACTGAACAGTTCGAGGTTGTGGTCATCCTGGAAGGCATCGTGGAAACCACTGGTGAGTAAGAACACAGATGCGCCGTAAAGTTTTTCATTTAAGAACACAGATGCGCCGTAAAGTTTTTCATTTAGAGTTCTGTTCAGTGTACCTGGCATTGACTGGCCTAATGTATCAGCTCATGAGCCTCAAAGTAAAGCCTTATAGCACAAAGTAGACATTACTTTGAAAATGAAGAGTGCTGTTTTGGTGGTCATATATACCTGATATTAACCCAGAAATAACGATTCATATGAAACTGAGATATTGACCTAAAATGAGTATACAGTTCTATTTAATTTTTTTTTTACAATTATATTTTTTCTTTCAAAATTGAAGGCTAAGAAATCTTTAGGGTAATTAATGTTCAGCCTGAATTCAATATGCATGTTCTGACTTGTGTGAAATGGGGGAAGGAGTTCGTTGATAAGGCTCTGGATTCTACTCCTGGAGCCTTCAGAGGCAAGGGTCCTGTGTGTTTGTGTGTGTGCACACAGAAGCGACATTATTGTTTGGAACACAACTATAGTTTTCCTGCCTAAACACTGGCTCTGGCTTTCTTCGCAAACAGGACTTTTCCCTTTTGTTTTCCCTGCTTCAGTTTGATTAGTCCTTAAGAATCCAATGCCATTGAAATGCTCAAAAAACAAAACAAACAAAAAAACCCCTACTCTCTGAGGAGAGTTAGGCGGGCAAAGAAAGGAACCAACAAGTGTCATGTGTTATTCTTTGGGCCATAAACAATGCGAGTTAAGTTTGGAGCCTGCTGAGTGTTCGAGACAAATATTTTATGACTATATACCTAATTATTTATGTACATAAGCAAAGACATGGTCACACATTTTGCATCTTCTTCAGCTAATGAAGGAGCAAAAAATTTTCAGATTTTCTTTTTGGGCTGATATCAGCTTAATCTTGAAACACTAATGGTTAAAGTATGGCAATACTCGAATTAACAGCGTCAGAAATAGAAATTCAAGTTTCACATTAAGGTGTAAGCTCTTTCATTTCATAGCACCACTTGTCCAAGGGTTAGGCAGGTGTTTGCTGTCTTCATTACAGTGACTGTAACTAGGAAGGATACCTATTGTCATTAATGAACTCATTTTTTTATCTTTTGTTTTATTTTTGAGTGAGAGCAACGTAATGACCAACTCACAACTGATGTTTAACACTGTTACTGTTCAGCTTACAATTAAGATTTTTTTAAAAATAAGTGGCGAAATGTTTATTAAACAAACAGGTTTGAAATTTGCCTAGTGTGTGTTGCTTTATACTCCTCACGAAACTTTCACTTTGGTGTCAAATGGTGTCAGTTTTTTTTTTTTAATTTGTTATTAAATAGAGAACAAATTTAAATTTAGTTTAGATGTCAATTTTTTTGCCATTTATCCAATAAAATATAATACTAGAGCTTAATGACAGAGATTATCATTTTCATTTATTACTTATAGTATGTGCTTCTTCAACATTCCTGATTATAATTTATTAATCAACTATTGCAATCATTGTGATAAGTGATTTTTTTTTTTTATTTTGGCAAACTTAAAAGTCTTCCGTTAGGTCAGTTACCTGTGTAACTGTGTACTCTTTCATTCAGATGATTTCCTACCATAACCACTCTAATTTTTTTTTACCACTCTAATTTTTATCATGAAATTATTTTTCTGTAAAATCAATTTAAAGATTAAATACTTTCTTAGTTTTAGTATGTACATTCATTTAATATTTACTTTATGTTTGGTTATATGTAGGTGCATATTTGTGTATCTATTTTTGCATGTCTGTGCCCACAGAAGACAGAAGATTTTATCAGATCTTCTGGAGCTGGAGTTACAGGCAGTTTTGATCCACTTAATTCAATATTTGGAGTACAGTTAGCATCTTTCCAAGATCAGCAAATGCTTTTAACTGCAGAGCCATCTCTCCATCCCTTTAGTTTGTATTTATTGGCCTTGATATGTTTGAAGAACCTAGACCAGGTCTATTTATTTATTTATTTATTTATTTATTTATTTATTTATTTATCCATTTATCTATCTATCTATCTATCTATTTATTTATTTATTCTTTTGAATTGTGTGTTTGTATGTGCAGTGTCTTTAAGTATTATTTCTGTATCAGCATCTTAAGGGCAAATGCTGAAACAATTTGATTTGTAATTTTAGTTGTAGTTCAAAGAATCATGATTAGTAAATGGTGCTGTATAAGGTCAGATGGAATTTTGTACCATCAATTATTCATTAGAATTACTGATTTTATTTTGATGACATTCCTCTTGCATTTTTATTTTGTCTGTTTTGTTGAAAGCCAAATGGCAGAGAATACTTTCCACAGGTAATGTAAAACTTGGATGGAGACAGAATTACTTACTTAGAAATTGCCTTTCATAATGAAAAGCATAAATTCTACTGCCTTAAAAAATTTCTTAATTAAGAAAACTACAAAGCAAAACCACTGCTTTATAATACATACTTTATGGGAAATTTATCTGATACTTAGTTTATAGGCCTACCACAGTTACTAGAATGTGAGACTGTTCAAATTCTGTAGAACCTATTGCCAGCCTATTTCCAGAACTAACACTTGATCATAATATCACACCCTTACTTCACTTGGTCGTTTAATTTTTATTGAAATATACTCAGATTCATCTTGAATGTTTTTTTTTTTGTCATTTATGTCTCCATCCACCATAAAATTTTCTTTCCCATAATATTTATTGTTGGGAATAAGGCAGATATCAGTTAAATTATGAGAGGCAAGAACAGGATTTTCTTCCCCAGTTTTTGCGTACAGAGCCTTGTGAATTAACTTGTTCTGGGTGTAACTTGCCAGCAAGATTTGTGTCATTTATTCACTTATAAGGTAAGTATTTGTTGAATATATGTTGTGTGCTTGCAAGAATCTGAGGGACTAGAGGTATGAGAAGGACTTAAGCAAGAAACCCCTTTCCCTGGAACTTGCATAGTAGATAAGCAAAATGTTATCATTGTCAAGATTTAAATAAAACAAACCCAAACAACCCCTAACCAAAACAACAACAAACAACAACAACAAAACAAAAACAAAACAGCTAGTAGTGGGTGGGGGATGTCAATGGCTGAAGACTACTTTAGGTTGATGCTCAGAAAATGTTCTATAGGAGATGACACTCAAGTCAAATCTCAGCTGGTTGATCAATGTACAGAATATGAGAAGTCCGTCCTTAGGAACACTTGGTGTAAATGTCTGAATGTGCTATACCCTTCATTTGGTTTGAGAACTAAGAGATAGCCTGTGGTTGGAACAGAACTAACAATGTGGAGTATAAGATGAGAAGTTAAAGAGAAGGAGCCAGCCCTCACTACCCATCTATTGCTTCACTAAGAGCAAGCATTTAGGGTTCTCTAGAAAGAGAAGTGACCGCTTAGTAAGCTCAATTTGTGTGTAGCAAAAATTCGTTTCTCTCCTTCTGATGTATAGTTTATTTAGAAGTTAGTAACTGATGTGTTGGAAAAGTTCTAGATGGTTACTTCTGTCCTGTCAACCATCCTCACATTTTGGCCTCTGTGTAACTGTACTGCACAACTGGTCACTCCAAGACAATCCTTTAACAAAGAGGTTTTCAATTTCATGTTGCATTTGCTTCTTCCTGTTCCTGTGGTTTCAGCAGGAATGGAAAGGACCAGTAAGGAAGAAACTAGAGTCTTCCTAATTTCCACAAAGAGTTAGGGACCAACCCAGGACTTCTAAATTTATACTTTTCCCCTTACCTTGTAAATATCCAGTGATCAGGCTCAGAGATTAATTCAAATGAGTCAGGCTCCATGTGTGCCACGATCTGCCTGGCAATCTGCAATAGCCTTTTCATCCTTGCTAGCACAGCAAGTTCCTGAGGTAGAATGTACCTCTAATTCTTGTTCTCTTCACTGCCTCTCCCAGGAGAGTAAGCACTGCTGGACGCAAACAAAGCACTGCAGATTTGGCTCATTAGAACTGGATGCTTTCAGGCTTCAATCTGGTTTCTGCTGCTATTTGGCAGTCTTTTTTAATTGTCTTTTCTGTACTCTCAGGCTCAGTCCCCATGGGATCTATTTTAGACCTTCTCTTTCTCTCTCTCTCTCTCTCTCTCTCTCTCTCTCTCTCTCTGCCCCCAGTGCCAGCTGTCTTATCCCTTTCCTGGCATGTCAAGTCTCCACCTCTTCTATTAAAAACTATGTGACACTCCACTTTTTGTACAATTCTTTTCTCTCACCCTCTTCTCATAGCTATGTTCTTTTTCTTTCCTGGTGTTACCATTTTTTATGAAGGCTGTTTTTGTTGTTGTTGCTTCTTTTCTCTTTTGAGTTAGCTTCATATTCTCTAACCAGGTTTACCCCAGCTTCCTGAATACTGCTCTGACCTATGTGAGCTGACACATCTAGCTGGGTTATGTTTCTTAAGCGTTGCTGCCTGCCATCAATATGTCAAACACAGTCCCTTCCCATTGATCCTTCTTTCTTGTGTTCTAAGATCTTCTCTAGTCTTTCCTTACAGAAGTGCTGTTGTTTTTCCATTTATACTTTGGAAGTTTTTCCTGGGATTCATAAGTATGGGATTTCCTCCCCCCTCTCCCGTTTTTGCCTTTTTTTTTTTTGTATTTTCTGGCCATTCCTAATGTCCTTTATCTCTACATCGTTGGCCTGCGTCATCTTTTCTGCTGATTCTCCTAAGCTTCCTGACTTTGCTTATTTAGACCCTTGAGTTTTTTTTTTTAAGCAGTTGGAGCTGTCACTACTTTACCTTTCTTCTACCCATATCCAGTTATGAACACTTGTTTCACTCGTGATGTACTATATTTTATTAATTCCACGTCCTTTTTACTTAGATATTGCCATTTTAATTCAGAGCTCCTTTTACAAAGTTACATGGCAGCATCCTATCTTCAAATTACAGTGTATTTTATTTTGGAACATTTATCTCTTTTTCTAACAGATATTTTATCACAGGCCATATCCAGATAATTTATTCATGGCACAAATACATCTTAAGAACTTGTT